ACTTAGCATTCAAAGCACTTCTGAAATGAGGCACCTTCGAAAACTATAGTCCCATGTGGAGTCGAAGTGTTATTCAATTAACTTAATTGGATATTTTGAGATTACGACGCAGCCCATTTGATTAGGGTAGCTGGTCAATTTGGAAATTTGTGAAGTACACTTATCTCAGTTCCCTTAAGTTCAAGAGGCCAATCCCACTGAAAAAATAGGTAGTCTTCCCTGTCAATGTTATGAGAGGTGGTCAACTATCTTGCCAAGGCCTTGGCTATAACGTGGAAGAAGAAATGGTTCGTACAGTTTCCCTGCCGAACTTATATAAATGCAGATTTGGCTCGTGCATGTTACCCCTACTGAGACATACATCAATAGTCATGGGCGGGCCTAGGGGGGGCAAGTGCCCTCCTCTTCCCCACATCTTGAGAATTTTTTTTTTTATAAAATCATGTTTGGTATCGATTGAAATCTAAATTTTAATCTAAATCAAAGTTAACAATTAATTTTAATAACATATTTTATGGAATCCATAATTATTTAATTTTTATTAAAATTTACTAAAAATTTGATTTTAATCTCCACCAAACAGGATAAAATCACAATAAATTTGAATTTCAATAACATGCTAATTTTAAAAATTCTCAAACGATCGTACGCTAATCGAATCTACAAATTGTTTATGTCATCTCAAAACTTATTCCAAGAACTACCTTATAAGCATATCGAATAGTCCAAACAGATATCGAAAATAGTTAAAAATACGTGAAACGTAAGTTTTAAAAAAGAAGTCTAAATCAGATTTTTTTTAAAAATTCAATTATTTCATTAACATTTATTATTTTTGCCATACAAAATTCTCAATGTAATTTTCATTATTTTATTAGGAAATTTTATATGAAATATGACATAAATTATTTTCGAAATTTTACATATGAAAAAGTCATATCCCATTTAAATTTTCAAATGTAAAATTACATAGGGTGTGATTTTTAAGGACGTAAATTTTCGATTGTAAAATTTCTTACTTCTTTACAAGTTTGATTATGCCCCTAACTTTTAAAGTCTGCGTCCGCCCTTGTGTAACATGATTGTATTTTTCCATCCCTAACACCATGATAATGTACCGTCACTCTATCAACAATAAAAAAATTTCCTTGTAACCTTATAACATGCAATAACTCGTCAAAAATTTGAGACCTAAAGACAAATTAAAATTACAAAATTATTCTTTAATATAAGATAAATTTAAATTCCAAAATGATCATAAAACGAAGATCATGCGACACGAATAATGCTACTTGGCTGCAACAATGCCAAATGGTAAATTTGATAACATCAAACAAATAAGAATAACCTATAAATTTGACGCTGTCTATGGCTTGTCAACTAAATTGGAATAGCCATAAAAGCACAAAAAGAAAAAGAAGAACAAAAGGCAGAAAACGATAAACACCGTACTGTTGTCTACAAAATGATATAGATTTTGAGAGAACTCGCAAGATATACTCTTCTTAAATCCTGATAATACGTAACGAAGAGGCACGTGGATTGACTAGTTGAGTCGATGTACTGTATAGTCTACTCTGTCACCCTGAAGCTTTCACTTGTCAACCAAAGCTTCTTTTGGATGACAAACACAACCTCGTCTCCTTCTTGGTCAGGGTCTGAAGTGGAATCTGCCATCGCAACTGCTTCCCAGTGCAATGCAGATAAATACTTCTTTACAAACTCAATGACGGATTGTTTGTCCCGGATAATAATGAAACCTGTAGGCCTGAGAATTCGATCCATCTCGAGCAGTAGATCCTCACCACTACAACCTTTCTTCTCAATGTCGGAAAACACAGTCCAAGCATGGAGCAAGTCGTAAGTCCTGGGGTATGTTGAGAAGGCTTCACACCTATAGATAAATTAGACATGGTGAATCCATCTTCCAGATTCCAAAAAATGTTCATTTACTATCAGAACTCTAAAGGTCAATAAATGACCCCATATGGAATGTTGAATTATCCTAAAGATAAAAATTGAGATACAAAATATTTTGCCGAACTTTCCAAGTCACTTAACAAACCAATGGGGATACTAGCTGATAGTCTCCGAATTCCTAATCCGATTTTCCCCATTTAAATATTTTTATTCTCTAGACACACCAACAGAGATTATTGTGTTAAAAATAGCTCATATATGCATGTCAACATTTTACTTTTGTCTATCTTTAAGGCGACTCCTCTCAGAAGCATGGAGAAAACAAAAGATATCATAATGTGTGATAAACAGGATTTCGAGGTCACCCATATAAACAGGATATTGATGGTAATCTAGGAATTTTTATCATACCAGTTGTGCGTTGTGCCAATCAGGCCTCTATCGTACACAATCTTAAGCGTTTTGGGCCCATCTTCGGGGATAACATTCATCACCCACACCTCTTTGTCCTTCAAAGCAGCAGCAAATGACCCTAAATTTGCCTTCATGTCCATCACATTCCTCAAAGTATCTGATGAGATCTTCGGACTCAAGAGATTCCAGTAACTCTCAACCCTATGGCGCCAAAGTTCCTTTGCGCAAACAACACACATAAAGTCAACATTGAATTCACTGTTTATAAGAGCTGCGTGAATCAGATAAGCAAGCAGCAGAGATTGAAAGAAAACAAAAAGAAGAAAACTTTCCAATTACCGTGTCTTTTTCGAACATTTCACTCGAATAGCCAAAATCAGCAAGCCTTGGAGGAGGAGAAGTTAATTGGGTAGGCCATGGTGCAAGGCCACTACCTCTGGTTTTGTGATCATCTGATAATAGGGGAAACAAAACATTAGAAATGAAGTTACAGGTCACGGAATAAATTTGGTTGCATTATCGTATATGAGCTCAAATAAAACAGAATACCATTGCAGAAATCAATCTCAAAATTACAGAGCAATCACTAAAGGTGGTTTGCTTAAAAAATATCAGTCCAAAAATTTCCAGTTTCAAGCGAGAAAAAATAAAAATGACAATGAACCAAGGTTTAAATGAAAAACGAGGTGTGGGAAAATAAACTCTTTTAAGGCTTCAAGATAGATAGAACAAAGTAGAAAATGCTGGAATCAGAATATAGATACAACTTCAGTTAATACCAAAGAACATAATCCTTAGCTTCAAGTTCACTGTATGCCAAACGTTTTAGGGCCTCAAACCTAATGAAAGTTTCCAATTTTACCCCTCCTGTGTAAGTAAATTGACCATTTATTGCAGATACAACCACCGATGTCATTTTCCTTATAAAAACTGGGGATGGATACATGAATGTTCTTTCGCCACTTATTTGATCCGAAGTTTTACCTACTGATAAGTCCAATAAAATAAACGTTTTACGACTACATCAGGTTAAGTCCATTTTAGTTTACCCCATTCTCTAGACTTGTTTGATTGAAATCGTGTCGTTACTAGTATTAGGAACTTCTTGATGCCTATATGACATGTACCCAACCATTTAAGTAGTCATTTTCCCTTAGACTAAATCCAATTAATCATCTGCGTCAACAAGAAATTCTTGTTTTCAGTAATGAATTATGGAATGGGAATTCTGTTTACATAAAAATCTCGATAAATGAATAGTCAAGAAATTAAAAATCTCCCTTAAATAATAAAAATTCCCGATAATGTACTAAGGGTGTGTTTGAGCCACATTATTTTGGAAGAATATATTTTGGAATAGTAGATTGAAGGAGAATGTGTGGTTGAAAAAGAAGGAAAAATTATTGATGTAATGGAAAATATTATTTTATTAAAGAATATGTGATTGAAAATGAGAAAAAGAATGAGAATGTGAATTTTAATGTGGCTCAAACATGGGTTTCGGTTTTGTACTAAGGGTGTGTTTGAGCCACATTATTTTGGAAGAATATATTTTGGAATAGTAGATTGAAGGAGAATGTGTGGTTGAAAATGAGTAAAAGAATGAGAATGAAAATTTTAATGTGGCTCAAACAAGGCTAAAGTAATAATCTAAATGCATAAGATAAAAATTATATTTCAATCCCTTTTGGGGCCCAATGAAAACAATCTCGATTAAAAAATAAAGTTTCTTGACCCGGGCCCGTGTACTAAAATAATATTCTCGTTAAATGTATAAGATAATAATTTTATTTCAAATCCTTTAGGGCACAATGAAAATATAAAATAATAATTGGTTCAGTACGTAAGATTTTATAATAGTTATTAAGAAACTTTTACTTTTAATTGCCACTTCTATTTTCTCATTTCATTTTTTCCTGAAAATATGCATAAAATGTTAATTGCTTTTCTTTGCAATCGAACCAAATTCAACTCATCTCTAATTTTATGCAAAGCATGTACCACACTTGGTATATTTTTTCACTTTGTAAAAAAATACGATGCTTGAGAGGTTATTTTGAAAAAAAAATACATGGAAAAACACATCTATTATCTAAATCATGATCATTCTCAATGGGTAAATTCAATACCCCTTGACCTTTGATCTGTTGAGCAAGAGCCTTTTCGTACGAGACTCCCAAAACACTATGGCCGACTTTATCCTTGTTGCAGTAGGCTATTCCATCATCGTATTATTTTCACTAGAATAATTTATGAGGTGCTCGACATCCATCAAATTTTTGTAGCATTGACTAGAAAATGGCTTCATGTAATCTATCTATGTATAAATTAATAAATAATTCTCCAATCCATAAATTAATAACCTCCCTAAAGTTAAAAAAAAAATTCTCGGTCCTAACATTATTATTTTGGAACATCTCAAAATGATGACCACTTCCCTTAAATGTCATTCACAAAATTCATTTACTCAAAATATCGCATCAAAATTCAAGCACATGGCTTTATCGATGTCATATATCAGGGTAAAAATGAAAGATGAGAAAAGTATACTTCAATTCTATTTTTATTTTTTAATTTGAAAAAAAAAAAAAAATCTATTGCCAAATTGACTAGGACTCCTATCAGATGCAGGGATCACTTCTCTACCCCTTCTTAGTTTTCATAAAATCGATCACAGCGTACATTACAGTCATTACTTAGATGTGAAAACTCTTATTGAAATGTGGCGAGATACACCTTCATCCACTTCTTTCCAGAAAACTTTCATATTTAAGAAGACAAATGAAAGTGATTGAAAAGTAATACATGATATAAGGTACTTACGATCAGAATAAGGTGTAATGCATGCTTCCATTGGGACACCCCACACTGCATCTGGATCATCATCAGATCGACACATAGGTGGATGAGTGCCAGGCTCTCTTTCCAAATAACAGTCATTTGTTAAAGGCTTTTGCCAAATGACAGTTTGGTTCCTTTTCGCAGCAATTGTCCAACACATACGTTCCACAAGTGCACTCATCTCCTTCCATATTCTTAGGTCTTCTTCATCCTGTGCATAAGCTTCAGGGGAAGAGTAGGCAAAATATCCTCCAGGTCTAAGAAGCCTATCCAGCTCAAGAAGAAGGAGCCCATCCCTCTGCAACCAATCAATTCTACAACGAGAACAGTGAGCAAGTTCAAAAGATCTGCTTGGGTAAGGAAGCCTCTTTGTTCCTAGAACACCAAGAAATGCAGGAATTCCTCTCTCTAGCGCAAATTGGATCTGATTTTGGTGCACATCATTTGGTGCTAAAGACATAGCAATGATATCGGACTTTAGAAGGTAAGCACCAAAACTGGCAACACCACAACCAACATCAAGAACGGTACGCAACCTTCCCTCATTGTTCAAGTTGTCTTTTGAGAAGTTCAGCATCTGCAAACACACAGCATGACTAGAATTAGTAGCAAATTTCATAAAATTTTGAGATATGATGCAGAATAATGATCATAATGCAACAGTTGGATGAGCATAGTGTACTCATGAATTTCCTGGTCAAATTTTTTATACTACAAGAATCATAATACTTACATTTGCCATTGAAGCAATGTATTTGCCAGCCCCATAATGAAAATGAGTACCTCCCCCAGGAAAATTAATCTTATCACCTTTAACAACCATCCAATTCTGGTCAGACTTCTCATGTGCAAGATGAGTATGAGGAATGTTTGCTTTCCATACTTCATCTCTACTTTTTGGCCACTTAATTGGGATCTGTAACCCCGAAGAATAAATAAACGGAACCAGCACGAGTTAAAAGGTTTGCAAAATATCACACAGTGAAGACTTTGATACAATTTATCTTTTTCACTTACCTTGTATCCTGGAGGAGGAGGAATTAAGCAATTGTACCTTCTCTCAGGTAAGGGGCAGTGTCTTTCATAGTGCTCCATCAAAGATAGATCCAACTTCAATCTCATTTGATATATAAGATGTCTGTCCAAACAGGGGATTAGCTCCGAATGACGATCATCACAAACCTTGAATCAAACAGAAGTTTTGGAAAAAGTTGTTCAGTTAGATAAAACAAGAGAAAAACAAACAATGAGGACATAAGGTTCCCTTTTTTCTTCTTTAACCAGCTCTTATGAGCGCGTGTCAGGGCTGGGGAGAAGTTGATTTGTAAACAATGTGGGTAGCCACAGAAAGACTTACAGGGAAGCTCTTGGGAGCGATACCATCCTCTCCATCATCAAGTCCAAACTTGAATGAAGATTCATCCTGCTTTCCCCCAAGATCAGTGTCTTCATCCCCACTCAAATAAGAGGACCCAAATTTTCTCAAAGAACGGCTGCCATACTCTAGAGCAGACTCACCAGTATTCTTAGAGCCAAAATAGACATACAGGAACACAACAAACACGGCCCCAACGCACACAGAAGTTAACAAGCGCTTGTTTTGTGCTCCATCTGATCTACCCCTCATCATTTATATAGCTTAATACCTCTTAAAGAACCTTCAGCTTCTCCTTTCAACTCACAGTACAGATACTATGAACCAACAAATTACTCTCATAACTGAGATTCCACAGTTTCGTTGATTGAGTAATTACACGGCATGCAATTTGAGTCAAAAAGACTATGAAGCAACCTGTGAATTCATTATTCAGCAAGTGTCAATAACTTCTGATGAAGATACGATGTAATAAGCATTCACCACGCTTTAAATTTAACCTCCAAACATAACCATTGTGGGATTCAAGTATGAATTCAATTTCCCTTTTTTATTCATGGTGGAATTTAAGTTGACACGTGTAGGTTTGTTTACAGTCACAGATCAGTACAGTTACAATCTAAGTTATATGAGAGATTTAAGTGTAAAATATAATGTGAGTAAAGTTCAAATAGCATTCACAAGTATAGTGGTTAAGATGTTCACAAATTACAAAGGAGGGATTAGTGTTTAGATACCAAAAGTTTTGACCTGAAAGAAATGACTTCAAATACAATTGATAAAAAGAAGTCAATCAAACAGTGAACTACTTTTTCAAGGGAAGAGGCCAGATTAATTAGATCATAGATGCATAACGAATTTATGATTAAAGCCACGATACTCTATTAACTAAATTCGCAATTAGCTACGGAACTTAAGCTGGATAACAAATGTGGCAATAAACTTCAGATTACGGAAAAACGGTAATATGAAATTTCTGCAGGATCAATAAAATACCACCAACGGAATAATCATGCAGGCATTCCACATCAATTAGTCAGAATCAAGCCTTCCTATTTTCCATCAAAAAGAAATCCAAAAACATAATACTACAATGCACCTGCTTTCTCTCTTTATTGAAAAAATCAGAGCAATGGTTTCGTCTTTATTATTTTACATCCCCATTTCAAGAAACGAAAATAGAATCTACACCAAGAAACCCAAAGTACGAGTTAAGATTTAATCTTTTAGATCAATTGAGTTGAATAACAGCTCAATCAACGCAGATCTAATTACATATTCTTATCACTTCATATTTATTGTGCAAACCGTTAATTATAACAATAATTAAAAACACAAAGCTTATCAATCTTGCAATATAGACAAAATCTAAATGGATATAAATTTACAGCGAATCAAGAATAAAGGGACAGTAAATGAAATCCAATCGGAGTAAAATTCAATGCAGCAGCAACAACCTGGGCAGATCTGAATCGAATTAGCTGAATCAATTATGCGTAAGAAACTGCAATTGTGATGTGAAAATGAATGAAAGTGAATATGGCCCAAGATTTGTGCGGAGTGGGGGAGCAAGAGAGAGAGGGCTGGGGCGTATCCTTTTCGCTACAAATAGAAATGGGAAATCGGATAGATAGATATAAAGTATGTAGAAACAAAGGTGAGTGGCGTTGTGTGGGGTGGGGGTTGGATCTCAGTTATGAGTTTCTGTGTTGTGTGTGTTTCCTTTCTTGGTTGGAGGAGGTGAAAAAGATTAATTTTAACCAATTTTTCAACAACAGATTTTCGGTAATTTTATCAATTTTTTAAGAAAATTTAATTTTAATTCGCACCATAGTAACTAACACAATTTTGACTGCGAATAAACTCAGTTAAAATTGGTAAAAAAAACTATGGGTCCTATTAAGCTCCTGCTTTTGAGCCCCAAGATTTACAATCGTACAAGCCCCGTCGACAACGAGGTGTGTAGCTTTTTTATTGAGGTGGGTCCCGTGTGAGACCCACGTCATGTGAGAGGATCCGTACATTTGTCTTAATTCCATTATTTAATATAACATTTTGTCAGAAAAATTTTGACACTTTTGTCGACACTCTCACATTGTGATGTGACCCACGCGTGAATTAAAAAAGATAAAAAAAAAATTCTCCCCCCTATTTATGATTATTATTTGTTATCAAAAGTTGAGTGTTGCTTCTTTTTGATTATTAATCTTTTTTAAACTCACTAATTGAAGAATATTAGGGATATTTATAATGAAATTTAAAGTTTGGGAAGTTGATTACTTCGTCTCATTCAAAAGTCTCATCGATATATTATTCCCTTATCATCCGAAAATGTTTATCATGAATTTTAAAATCCAATAAATACCATATGTTCAGATAATATTCAATTAATTATTGAACCAGATTTTTATGCATTTGCTCCAATAATGTGAGAAAATCACCACCTATCTGATGCTCAGCAGCACCGGATTCCAAAATCTAATTGACACCATCACTTCTCAATTGACGTATCGATAATACTTTGAACTAATTTTTTCGAACTAGGCCTCAAGTACATGGATTGGTTGACAAAATTCATACACGGTATTGCACCCTCTCTCTCTCTCTCATTATCCAATGATTTCTCGCCAATTGTATCTAGAGAAACTTTCCTATAAGAAAAATCTGTACTTGTAATATGACTCAAGTTTTTCACATCATCTCTATGTTATGAGTTAATCTTGATTTTGTGAATCTTGAAATATTTCAATAACCACAGCTTCATTTGATTCTCATTTCAATTTGAAAAATGTCTCGCACTTAAGTTCTGATTAGGAATTGTTTAAATTATAATTTAAGCAGCGAGTCTTACTAAACATATATATAAAACGTGACTAGTAAGTTGGAATCTTATAAAAATATATTGATAAAAAGTGCACCTTGATCCAAATGAATGGAATTAAACACCTCCTAAACAAGCATGCCTCGTTACCTTAATTAATCACAACAAGATTATCCTTAAAATACGAGTGCCATTTTATCGAGTAGTGAACTTCATGAGGATCAAATTAAAATTAAAGCACGTTATAGTATGTCAATTGAAACTATACCTACTTCGGCCATATCTCATAAAAATCATATTTAATTCATTTTGATTAGATATCAAAAATACAATCATAGCTATTACAATTGGATGTGACAGATTGTTTGAGCCACATTATTTTTTTATTTTATTCATCTACTCATTTTCAACCATACATTATTCAATAAAATAATATTTTTCATCACATCAATAATTTTTACTTCTTTTTCAACCACATATTCTCCATCACATAAAAAGAAATGCATCATTGGCTAAAAAATGTGCACCAAACAGGGGAATTTTTTTTTTTTGTTTGAATTATTTTTTTAAAATTGCAATCAACAATTAATTACCAGTTGAATTAGTGACCAAGCAGTTCATCTAGAAATTAGAGGTAAATAAAAGGGTAGTATAAATATTCTTCAAAATATGTAGACAAAAAGTAATTTGAATATTTATAAACATTGACCAAATATCGACTAAGACACAAATAATAAACAAATATGACATGAAGTAAGTTAAATAAAAGTGTAACCAATGACATACTTTTAACACCCATAAATATTCGGTAACATGTTTATTTAACTTTCGCATGAACTACGATCCCAATATATCACTCAGCCCCTATTTAATGAGGATTAAAATTCAGATTTTTAGTAAATTTTGATATTAAAAAATTGATGAAATGTATGGTGATAATGTTACCATGAAATATATTGTTAAAATTTTTAACTTAAATGAAAATCTAAATTTAGGGTGCTTTTGAGCCACATTATTTTATTAGAATGTATTTTGAAATAGTAGATTGATGAAGAATGTATGGTTGAAAAAGAAGGAAAAATTATTTATGTGATGGAAAATATTATTTTATTGAAAAATACGTGATTGAAAATGAGTGAAAGAATGATAATAAAAATTTTAATGTGACTCAAACAGATACTTAATTCTTACCGAACAAATAAGATAACATTTATAGAAATTGAAAAGGTGCCAGTGAAAATAACGTGGTTTTAAAGTGTCGGCGATCTTGCATTGAGCTGGACTGACATGGACTTCAGAGAACGACCCGGATGGATCCGGGCTCCCTTGTGGGCCCAAAATATGAGGTCTTTTTCATAGTGTGCTACACTAATTAAATGTAAATTTATCCAAGGCCCAAATTAATTGGAAATCATTCTTTGTTTATAGGCCGAACTTGAACAGAGTTGGCCCAATATTAACTTTGCAATAATTGCACTAAACACTCGGTAAGTTTCAAATTTCAAAATAATTATTTGAGCAATTTACAAAAATATCCTTAAAGTTAAGAATGTTTTGAAAAATCATATGAAAAATATTTTGAAAGTAAAAAATTATTGTTTAAAATTTTGTGCCACTTTTTTCTTAAAAAGTGAAAAAGTGACACATTGTCATTTTTATTAAAAAAATGATATTTGTCACTAAAAAAAGTGACGGTAAAAAAGTGGCAAACACTAAAAAAAAGTGATAAACACTAAAAAAAGTGACAAAACATTCAAAAAGTGACAAAATACCAATTAAAACTTGGAATCAGTTTAATCAAGTGACAAAAAAAATGAATAACCACTGTTTCTCCTATTTTTCCGTTCACTGTCAAGCATCTTTAATTCAATTCAGCGCTACCGTTATCTACCAATTTAGCCAACCCATTGACCTCCACGTAACGAAGATCCCAACAAGAGAACACGTTATAACTTTTATTATATTAAACCACCTATAATTTGTTTGTTATGCAGCACGATGACCTGAAACCAGTATTCCCTAGCCAATAAGATGGACCATAGCTTTTGGTCTAATCGAAAGACTATGCTTCCTTCACACAGAAGAATATATTGGAAGTGACGAAATTCGAAAAAGTGACAAGAACGAAAAAAGTCACAAAAAGTGATAAAGTAATAAAACTCGAAAAGGGGCGAATAATATTTAACAAAGTCTTAGCGTCCGTTTGGCCCCCATTATTCCACATTATAATGCGATGAATAGTAATTTTTTGGATAATGTGTGGTTAAAAAATGAGTTTTTTTTGAATTTACGTGTAATATTATTTTATTGGAGAATGGGTGATTGATAAGAAGAAAGAGAAAAATGAATTATAATTTAATGGAGAAAAATGGGGGCCAAACGGTGGCTAAATTACATTATTTGCATGTCTCTTTGATTAAATCTATAATCTTTG